TATAATCAGAAAGAAGTTGAATATTTTCCATGCCATTTTTAATTTTAGCCATTTTTATGAGAGGTCTATTACTTAGACTTTCGTCAGGTATTCTCACTTTATCACGTCTATAATTAGTATACAGATAGCCTAAGCGAAGGTTTGGATTATTTTTATAATCTTCTTTAAGTTGTGGCTCTGGCATACGCAGAATACGACCAATAGTTTGAACATAAAAGTTATTAGATTTTATTTCCCTAAACATTACGAGTACTGAAGAACGAGGACAGTCTCAGCCAGTGCCTGCTGCATATTTAAAAAGTAAAAAGTCATGTTCATCCTCATTGTCTTCCAAGCCAGGCGGCCGAGGGTTTTTGTCAAATCACTTAGCAATCCTATGTTCAGATATCCCTTTTTCACGAAGATATTCAGTCACAATTTCCTCTTTTTTTTAATTCTTCTTCAAGTTCTTCTTCTGTTTGAGTGACCACTGCCTCTTTTATTAGACCTTGTTCAATAACTTCTGCTCTTGGAACTTCATAATAATTTCCAGAACGGCGGGCTTCAAGTTCATCCCTCTCGTCTGGTGTGGCAGTAACATGCAGAATTATTTTTGGGTCAATCAAGTCAATAATATTTTTGGCAAGTTTAGTGCTTTTATTTCGATGGGCTTCATCAATTATCAAAATAATTTGCCGACGATCGACTTTAGTTTGTTCAATAAGATCCTCAAAATACTTTCCTTTTTCTTTGCGTCATTCTTCATCTTCCAGACGGCGGAGTTTTCTTGTTTCCACATTTTTTGCCAATAATTTTTCTCAATTGAGAAATAAAATATCATTGTGATAAAGTTTTCCTTGATTTATGTCCGCTACAGTTAGTGCTCTATTTTCAAGATTATTTTGGAAGTATTCAATAAATTTATCCTTACTTTGCATTGCCAGTTCGTCACTAAAAGTAATTCATATAAAGGCCTTGTCTTCTTTTCATTGAGGAAGATAGTTGAGTTCTCTAACAAAAAGTGAAACCATAAAAGTCTTACCACT